ACCTAAATTGAACTCAAATATATTTAGAATGTTCAGTAGAGTACTTTGTATTATCTACAGACAAAAGAATCATTACAATCTCAAGAAACATCTGAAGTAGTTTTCGGGTGAGTAAATGGATAAAAAAAAATATCTCAAATTTTAAACTCTCAGTTTGCTGAAGAAATATATAGGTGAATCGTTAACATTGTCATAATAATTCTAAAATAGTTAGAGGCCTCGTACGAACCGTTTTTCTAAGCTCCAGTAAAGCAAAGTAAAAAATAGAAGACGAGAATGGTTATTTTTAGTCCTTTATTTGTGAGCTTTCAATAGTATTTACGTCGTCAGGTTAAGAAGGTCATTTTTTTTGTTATTCTGATTATCATATGGGGTGATGAAAAGGAAAAATCTGATATTTGTCCTTTGCTGAATTTTTATTTTATTGGCTGTCGCTGAGCTTTATCACTAAAAATCATAGAGAGCATCATACTAAAGTATTTAAACATTTCAAAATATTCGATTTCTGCAATGAAAAGATTGTTTTGTTGTAAAAAGCAAGTTTCTTAACCATGTTACCTTCAAACTAATTTTCAAAAAAAAGTAAAAATCTAACACTTCTAAACATAGTAACGTGCTTTCTGTTTTATCGATCTCATCTAGCTAAAATATCTTGCTATAATGACAGGCAAAGCTTCAATTAAATGCAGTACTTACATGTGAAATAGACGAACTTTTCAACAGTAACAATACACAAAGGGAACACTATATTTGATCATCGATTGTCTGCTGATTTGGCGAAAGAAATAAGCTTCGATATACTGAAATATATGTTCGATTGAAATATCTAAATAATGTTTCATTACTTCATATTCAATTCATTGTTCGGAAATTTATTAATAACTTAACTCAATTATTTTGTAGAAAACCTTCCTTTAGACCGAGTCACTTTTTAAAACTTTGCTCTTTATTCTTTCTCTATCTATAAATATATGCAAATACAAAAGTTGTCATCACATATCTTTATTCTCTAAAGAGTGTATTTCATTGAGCCTTATCTAATATATTACATGCATAAAAACTCAGTTAAACTGAAGCTAATGCACATCACATGTAAGTTTAGAGACGATCAAAAATAAATACTTTTTTTTTCTTCTGTTTCATTGCTATTTATTTTAGATTTATGCGTTACTTTTTGTAGTAAAGTTATATATACAATGACAACTGAACAGACTTCAACTGTACTTCTTGATGACGAGCATGATACTGCATTAGATAATCCACAACAAGGTGATGATGAAGCTTGTAACAAACTATTTCAGTCAATGAATGTTTTATCATATGGAACAATAACTTGTATGAAAAAGAAATTTACTTTTATAAAAAATTTTTTGTTGTATATTTGTCTTTTCTGCTTGGAAGTTTCTGATAATAAATCCCATCAAGCAGATTTCATTCGTATATCCAATAATGTATCTCCCACGTTAATTCATGAATTCTTAACTCGATACTGGTATGGTGGAGTAAGTTATTGAAATTTTTATTATGAAAAGAGTATATGTACACATATTTTAGCGTCCATCACTTGTCATATCGATAACTGGAGGTGCAAAAGAATATAATATGAAACCAAGATTATTAAGAGCATTTCGACATGGTCTTCTTAAAGTTGCTCAAACAACTGGTATGAAAAAGTGAAACTATTTTAGTGGTATATATCTGAGAAATGAAACCGGGGTTGCCACTTTTTGAAGTTCGAAAAGCAGAAAATAGCCTACAAAAAGCAGAAAATGACAGAAGTTTTATTGTGAAAAAGCAGAAACAAAAGCAGAAAGTGTATTTCTGCTGTGAAACAATCTTTTAAGGTTTGACTTAATGAAATCACAAAGAATTTCACACCAATTTCCCATCGTAATTGTACAAAATCAAGAGAAAACCTAGTTAAACACAAAAATAGAAGTATTGGATTCGTTTTCTTTTGAATGTGCATTTTACATCTGATTTAATAGCTTTCAAAAAATCTTCGTTGCACAATATATGTTTATACAGCACTCGTAAAAAGTTTCAGGATACTCGAAAAAAGTTCTCCAACACTTTATGTTTAAATTGAATCTGAAAATAAGCATATGTTTGGCATTATTATTAACCAACGTTTCATATCTTATTGAACGAATGAATCTTCGCAATTTGAGATCAAGAGAAAAGTATCAAACATAAAATATCCAACGGCTAAAAGTTCTGTAACAAATCTCGTTCTTTTCACCTATTGACTTTCCTTCACTTTCAAATACTATAAGTGGAAAGAGTTTGAAAAGCTGACTACAGTAGATATGTATTCGTTTAACATATTATAGTAGTCAGATGTTTTTCGTAACGAGATTTTCCCCCTACAGAAATGCTAAAAATATACCGTGAAAGAGGACAAATCATGTCGTAATTTTTGCTTGTTTTGAAAAGCAGCATAAATTCGACAAAATAACTCATTTATTGGACTCTCAAATATCAAAGAAATGCACTGAATGATAGAGAAAAACAAAAGTCTATCCTACTGCTTTTTTTCACGTAAAAATAGCTAAAATATTTTAAAATTTTAGATTTCTATTTTGTCTAGATTGTGGTACATTGTTTAATATAACACAAAGTCTAAAAATGTATAGTTTTGCTATATTTATCTTGCTCTTCTACACAAGCAGAAAAGATGTAATTTTTCCTATTTCAAAGTAGTTTCTTAACAGTTTCTTTTAGATCGCTAGCATTTTTACAGCGAAAAACCTCGTTAAGAAAAACATCTGCCTACTATAATTTACAATATGAAAACATCTATGATAGTCAGTCTTTCAAGCTTTTTCCATTGACGCTGTCTGGAATCGAAGAAAAGTTAATGGCTGAATAAAAAGATGCTTGTTCAAGAACTTTCTGTCGTTGGATACTTTATTTTCGATACTACTTTTGTGACATAAAATAGCAATGATTTGTTTGGTCAATAAAATATGGCATGTTGCTCAAGAATAATGCCAAACATATTCTTTACTTTCACAGTCAACTTAAACTTAAAGTATTCGGAAACTGTGGCCGATTTTCTCAGAACTATTTGGTAGGGTTGTACATTGGCAGTTTTTTGCAGTCAGCGAAAAACAAGAATTTTTCTTCACATTTTGAAAAATTGATGCAATATAATATACAAAATGCTAGTTAAAAATATAATAGATAAGATATGCGAAAAAGCAGAAAATAGCAGAAAGGACAGAAAAAAAGCAGAATTTTTCTGCTAAAAGCAGAAGAGGTGGCAACCCTGAATGAAACATTACTTTGGTTTGCTTTTAAAAAACAATCAACAAAATTTATATAAAAAAAAGAACTATTATATTTTAGTTAAAGTTGTTTTATCATGTCTTAAAAGGAGCAAAGTAATCGATTATAAGGTTTTTTCCTATGAGTTTCAATTATTATAGTATTCTGTACAGTTGAATTGATGTTATTTTGAAAAAAAAAATATTTTCTTTTATATTGTTTAATTTTAGGTGCATGGATAATTACTGGTGGTATGAATACAGGTATAATGAAACTTGTTGGTGAAATTGTTCAAATAAATCCAGATCGATCACGACCAATTCCTTTGATTGTAAGTTTTCTAAAACTAAAAGAATTTTAAAATAAATATTTGTCTTTTTGTTATCTAATAAAATAATCTAATAGGGTATTGCTACTTGGGGTTGTGTATCTGGACGTCAACATCTTGATGTACGTGGTTCAAGTGTATATTATGCTAAACCACGTAGTAATATAAGAGGTGAAGCACCACTTGAACCAAATCATACAAAATTTATTTTTATTGATGATGGAACCGAAAGAAAATATGGTCGAGAAATAGCATTTCGTGCTCAACTTGAACAAGCTATGTCTAGTGGATTTTTTCATCAAAAACTATGACAAGTTCTTCAAATCAATCTGGAAATATATCTAGAACATCATTTTTACAATCAGAAAATTCAGGTTCATATGAAAAATGTTTTCTCTTATTAGTCAATAATTATTCTTTTGTTTTTTTTATTTTATTTTTGATGTAGATCCAGTACCTGTTGTTCTTCTTGTTGTCGAAGGTGGTCCAAATACAGTTCGAACAGGTTAAAACAAAGATAATTTTTTGAACAAAAAAACCAATAAAAATAAATATGTTTTATTTATCTATAGTTCATGAAGCTGTTGTTGAAAACAATATTCCAGCTGTTTTTCTCGAAGGAACAGGTCGTTGTTGTGATTTATTTGCTAAAGCATTTCATCTTTATGATGAATATCGAAGAAATATTGAATCTGATGATGAAACATCTGGCCTCGTAGTTGTCCTATTTTTCCTATATTTCCTATATTTTTGGAATCGGTCCTATAATGTCCTATTTTTTTAAAAATTTTCCTATATTCCTATATTTAAAAAAAATGAAGGTTTGTGCCAGAAAAGTTGCATGTTTTGATAATAATAACTATAGATTTATGCGCTTTCAGTAATTTTATTAACATGTGAAACGAATTATGTGGATAGTAGTGACAAGTATATAAGTACAACGTGTTTTATGCTTTCTATTCATTGTTTTGATGATTCACTTCTTGTATTTTTTACAACTATTAATAGTTGTCTTTTTTTCTTTGTGCTTTACCCAAAATTCTTTATTAGAAAGATTGATATTTTCTGGATAATGTATGTGGAGTTTAATTATGTTAAATATTGAAAATTATAATGAAAGTCGAAACTTTTACTATTCAAAGATATTTTAGATAATATTCAATTGATCAATTATGTGTTTTAATTTTTATTTCATCTCTTATAAAAATTAGGATTGTTTCTATTGTACTCAAAAAGTGAGTACACTACTATAATCGGTCTGTATGTCCGTCCGGCCGTTTACACGATAACTATCGAAAAGAGAGTCAGATTGCGATGAAACTTTCTACATAATTCAGTCTTTAGAATATATCGGTCAAGTTCGAAGATGAGAAGGATCCGTCAAGAAATGGCTGTGCTATCAAAAAAATTGTGATTTTTGGCGAGACTATCCCTGAGGGGGGGGGGGTACAGGGATTTTTCGAAAAAAAATTTTTTACTCAGAATTATTCACAAAACACATAAATCGACTCAGTTTTTAACGCTGACCCTAAATCTGATGTTACTTTTGAACCAAATCATAGTTTTAATGTACTCAAAAAGTGAGTCCACTATAGAATTGATCAGTGTTTGCGGCCGGTCAGTTCCGTGATAACTTTCGAAGGGAGAGTTAGATCCTGGTGAAATTTTCCAC